GAGCTCTCTCTACTCCAAGGGATAATGAGACTATATTATTTTGCCATCAGCTATAGCGGATCGAATTTTCTAGACATTTCACTGTCCAATACTCTATCGTTCTTTTGTCCATAGTCGAAGTCTAGCATCAAAGTCTCTGAACCCAAGTCCCCTTTTATTTGAAGCGAGGCATGTAGGATTTGGAGTCACGAGACATTGAACCAGGATTATCTATTTCATTAATGTTGATGTCAGTATTAATTAAATCAAAACCACGTATTTCCGAAAGTTACATACATTAATTGATTTCTTTGTCATTTGCACGGTGTATTGCATGGATATTTAAAGAATCGGGAAACACACCATGCATAGCTTCCGTTCTAGTGATTTCATGGGAGATAATTACTTCTGATGCAACTGTAGCCAAGGCTAGAATTTACTGACAACCAGGAGTGAGTCTCACCTCAACACTAGCCAAAGAAGTGTGATTCATCAGAACTCGCGGTACAAAACGAGACCATCTCTCCAGAAAATATGGCAAAATTTGATAACATTAAAAATGAATGCATTGATATCTGACAATCCTGCAACAAGTCTGACCTCCCCCCCCCAAACACACACTTTACTAACTCCAGCTCCAGGGGAAATGTATAGGGTTCCCGATGCTTTGAAGCAAGACTATTTTCATATGTTTTCATAGATTACCCTTTGTAAAAAGAACTTTTTTATCTATAACAAAGGAGCGAGTAGAACAGGAGAAAATTATGGGCGTGCCATTGGTCCGATCCCTACTACCAGTGGTCCAAACCCAAAATATCGCACCCCCCCCCCACCTTGACATTTGCTGGCTACGCCCCCTATGTATTGGGTACACTCCCCTCCACATGATTGGCAACCGGAAGTCTCATTTTGGATCAATTATCAATCCTGTCTTTATTTTGCAATTAAAATTCAAATTCAAACATCAGGCTTTGGTATGCAATCCAATAAAAACGTTCAGCTGCCAAACTTAGTCACGGTACAAAGGCAAACGATTTATACAAATGGTGGGTAGGGGAGGAACAAAGGGAAGGGGCATAATGGGGGGGGTGAAACTGTACACTTGATGTAAGACTACTTAAGTATACACCTAACCATACGCAATTATATATTTAGGCATACGGGTTGCTGTTTCCAATCTGGAATGGATTATTTATAGACCTGGTAATGGACTTCCATCCATCTGTAATCATCGAGTGAGACCAGATTTTTTTCATCTTCGTTTTGTTTACTAACTAAACCATGCTTTGAATTTAGAATGTATCTCCAGAATCGGAATCTGGAATTGCAATGATTATACGGTAACTGCAAACGTTGTATTGATGATTCAAAAACACAGTCGGAGTTCCGTATAGGGTTCAATTATATCGGTGGCAATGATGGTGAAGAGAACGTGATGAAGGTCCTCTTTGATAGTATTTTTCAGGTCGGTACATTCCGTTAATGTTCCATCATCCATATTAACGTGGAGATTATATCGACTAGATTAGCTTATCTAAATCCTGAATGTCTATAAATCCTGAACATCTTTTCAATCAGTGTTGCTAGTCCTAATAGTACTTTCTCTTCCCTTGCTAAAAACGTTGGAATACATTGAAATTGATTCATTGATAATATGTATGTAGTTCATAACTTATATAAAACGTAAGCACTTTAATAAGTTTACATGTAGTAAGAATTGAGAGGAAGAGTAAAATACCCAAGATAAAATTGGATGTCATTTCATGGAGGGGATATAGAAATGACAGCTGCTCTTGGTGTATTAATAGATAAAGACTTGGAACATTTATTACGATGGAACTATTACGTTGGGTCTTGCTAGAAAGGAAAATGATGATCGCAACAAAATTCTTCGTCCATAAACATGAAAATTGATCAATGATCACACTGATTTATTCCAGGGGAATTATTTCATGAAATGAAAACAAGATATATGATGAATCAGCTCATTGTAGGGGAAGAGAGCTTTGATTTTTTATTCAATAAGTTTCATACAAGGCATTCAATAAGTATTGCTAATTTTGATATAGTTTTTATTCTCTTGCTTTCTTCATGAAATTTTCAAAACATAAGGATAATATATCAGACCTTATTCTATTAAAAGTTTGTACATATCAATTACGATAACTACAGTACTCGTCATTTAAGCAAGGCAAACATGTGCTCCGTACCGGGGTTATATTGGAGTAACACGAACAGTGAACACTAGAGGTCCTGGATGCCATCAAAATAATCCTTTATTTGGGAGAAACTCTTAAGATAAATTATTATTAATTTGCACATGAAATTTAATGTTAGAGCGAATAAATAATTGTCTAGCTTTTCCAGGGGTCTCTTTATTTATTGTGGAAATTTATTATAACCCAATAATTTATTAATGGACAATCCATATATAATCACTGCATTTGTATTTACCATCTGATAAGTTTCGTATTCATTTGATAATACGTGTATTTCATGATATTAATCAGCAGCCTCGATAATCTATTTAGGTCCCTTGTAAGACCCTGACCATGGTTTGATCCATATTTTTTGTATCTTGCAGTCGAAAATTTGGCCTTTGTGTTTTGCACTTCAAAACTGATGTGACATCCTTCATTGATAGACCACAAATTCAGTATCTTGGTGATTTTTTCTAAATGCAATAGGCGAAAACAATATTTTGAGGTATAATGTGTCAACCAGAATAGTTAAATGGCATCCTTTAAACGGTTTAAACTTAGAATTAACTGATTTTTTTAATAATCGTAACATTATTTTACAACATTGTATTCATCTATTTCGATTCCTAACGTTTGGAAACATGTTATAAAATGTAGCTGTATTGCCTAAAATAAATATATATTAAAAAATAAATTGGCAAAGAAATACGTTCGTGATAAAAATTTGATATGCTAGGCCTAAGTAATTTTGAAGTCGATTATCGACCATAGGACGTCTTTAGCACTTAAAATGGCGGGGATTTGAGTTTCCACACTTATGTTAAGGAGTGTATCATCACGATTGTCATATAGTGTAGTGTATAAGGTGTTAATCAATAAGAGCATCACTAACACACTTCTGACGTAAACAAATTGCACCTAGTACCCTCTTAGATTTGCGTATACCAATTCCCTATACCTAGGCAGCACGTGGGGGATAAGTCTAACTTAAACTAAAAAAACAAAGATTCTTAAACGTCAACAGAACTTGGTTAAGAAAATAAATAAGGTAATATGGCTAGGGTAACATACGTTACGTCTGCAAGGTTGAGGCCTCCGGGGTTCCATGATTGGCTATTAAAATTAAACAGTAACTTCTCCATGGTGTCAAAGAAGCTTGTATTTTATCATTTATTACCCGAGCTATTCCTGTTTTTACTCAATTAGTATTCACTTCCGACATTCGACCTCACCAAATCAATTACAGCGACCTACGCCGTCCATCGAGTGGCTCAAAAATAAATCAAAGAATGAGATCTATTTTAAGACGTGAAAAATGTTAGGAAGGATTATATTGGCATCATTGATCATTATTTAACCCCCACCGACTTTTTTATTAATCTATAATTGCTGAGATATAGAGCCTTTCGTGGATTGTTAAACGTTTCACTTTGATTCGGACTTGAGCTGCTATTCTAAAATGTACCGAGGCAGCGTCTCCGTGAATTGTTAGATCATCCACAGACTTTATCCCTTTGAATACACATATACACTGTCAAGTATTACCACCCCTAAAGTGTCTCTACGTATAGACCACGGGCTTTCACTTGAGAAGCTTCCCTTGAACTCCACCTCCTTTAGTGTCACTAATTAAGACTCGTCGCCCCTCGTTAAACTGTCACTAGTATAGACAGTTATTTATGTTAATCGCCAATATGATGTAGATTTACGCTACCCTGCTTTATGATTAACTTGATAATTTGTATTTTGTGCCTAGAATTATTATATCCTTTTACCAGTAATCCATCTCATTTTATCTCTTTTAGCAGATTTAGTGATGCAACGGCGTGAACAACCGTGAAACATGGTGATTATATGATTGATATGATTCCAATATACCCCCTCGAATAAAATAAAATATCATTATATGCCATTTGCATCTTAAAAGAGAGCTTCGTCTTCAAATAGGTTAAAACTAGACTCTGCGCCCAGGCCCCAGGGTAATCATTGTATGGGCTTTGGATTCGAAAAAGTGCAGTAAAACCTGAAAAGTTGAACACCTCTGTAAGTTGAACACCTCCACGTCCACATCTTGAACAATTTTCAGAGGCTCTTAATTGATTTAAATGTTGGACAAACTGAAACCTCTGTAACAACTACCAAGTGGAACACTTTTTGGGGGTAGTACCAATGGTGTTCCCCGTACACAGGTTTTACTGCACTGAAATTTAAAGATCTAGAATATGTAATCTGAGTTAAAAGCTAGGACTCGAACTTACAGGTAACATTATTTCCATGTGTCATTCAAGGTATTGATTCTATTGCCATCTTTTATCGAACAAATTGATTCAACCAATGTAGTTTGTTACTAAAACCCTGTATACAATCGCAGGCGAAATGCTTGAAATGGGGTGAAACGGCCGAATTGCTTGAAATGATTGAAATAAGGGTGAAAGTAAATAAGGCGAAACGATTGAAATTCAATTTCCAGTGTATGCAGGGTTTTAGCCCCCGGATGTTATTTTCCATAATTCACATCCATCCCGCAAAATATGCATCTCTCAATTACTCAATTTACTGTATATAATAATTTACCCTTTTCAAATTGGAAAAGTATGAAACAATGTTACGTGATATGATATTTGTCGAACCACTGCGCATACACAAGGCTATTGCAAGTTAATATATGTTCCAATGACTTTTTATGTGTACATAGCTCTGTGTACCTGTCAACTTTAATTTTGTTAACGACTTTTTGTAAACGCTCCTATAAACAATGCTTCGGGTAAAAATAAAAGGTATGCTTTTTATAGCAATTTTATTTAAATGTACGATATTGGCAAACAACATATAAACCAGTATGAGTTTGAGCGGCGAGTCAATATTGAGCGAAATAATTAAATACTAACTCTATATTGGTTCTAAAGTTCTATGCTAACTTAACTATATATCGATTTTAAGTGACACTGGTTATAATGAACTTAGAAATAATACTGGGGAGGTATATTAAGACCACATATTCAGGTCTGATATTATTGTTGGTTATACCATGAAAGAACTGATGTGAAATGATCGGACGTATCGTTCTAAAGTGGTAATAATTGGGAGAATGTTATTAATGATGATAAACAATAAACATCGCCGAATCAGCTGTATGAATATGGGATAAACTTAAATTCATCCTATTATGGATGGGATATCCAGGAGCCAACTGATAGTTTTGGGAATATTTACTACTGATGTCGCATAGGACGATTTTTCTCTTACTGATATGCTTAACGCTGGCGTTCATATTGTGGGTCATATCTGGCAGCAGTGCTGTCAGTAACAAATACTATATTATGGTAAGTGATAGTGATGGCCATAACACTGACGTTGATGATGTACCAAGACAAGCTAACTTTGACTTTAGAAAGAAGAGACATAGGGATGATAATTCCAGCGTCTGGTACAGCCAATGTAGGTTTCCTAAATGCTGTCGTCAGGAGGGATGTACGGACTTCCCACAATGCAAGGACCTCTTGTTTCAGTTGTTACAAGATGCAGTCTGGATAATGCGATCACTTGGTATACCGTACCAAATTGTGTATGGAACATTGTTAGGAGCCTATAGAAATTATTCCATTCTACCTTGGACTGCTGATGTTGACCTCATCGTGCATAAAAAACACTGGAATGACCTGATCGGCACCCACCCTACGGAGGACCCCTCAAGGAGATTGCATGTAGCAGTAGATAAAAGGGAATGCGAGGATGATAAAACATGCCATTGCATCCGAGCATGTCACGTTATAAAAAATATTGATACCCCTCCTGAAAGTTACCCTAACGTGTACAATTACAATGCTTATTATATGGACATTTACACGTATTTTGAAGCTGGGGACGATAGCATTGGTTTATGCGATAGGTACTACCATAAAGATTGGTTATTTCCACCTAGAAACTACACCATAAACGGTAAATCATTCCTGGGTCCTAATAAAGGAAATGTTTCATTACAAATCACTTATGGTTTGAATTTCATGCATCCGATAGAAGGCTTATAATGAAGGATTTTTCGCTAGTGATCATTTTTAGCTGAAAGAGACTGACCGCCTATACATATTTTATAAACAGAATCAATGCAAATGGAATTAAATGATTAAACTGGATTCGCAGATTTTTAAAAGGAGATGGATTCTCTGGAACGGATTCAACAGGGTGGGAATCAAGGGCCTTTTTGGTCCTCCTAAAAATTGCCATTTAGCCTCTTTTTACAAATAGGCCTAATATAAGAAAATGTGGATCTTTTGAAGAAAGTACCCTCATTTTGAAAACATAAACACAAATTTTCAAAATGTAGCCCTATGCTATACCTTCATCAAATCCTAATGTCATGTGTATTGATTAGTGCTCTGCTAGTTCTTAGCATGGACCTTTCAGAGAAACTTAGCATTTCAGCTAGTGTTCTTCATGTCAAAAGAATAACATAATGACATGACATGACCATTTAACAAATGTCATTTTTGGCTTTTTATATTTTTGTATTTTATTTATAAATTAATAAATATTTAATGCAACTCTAAATTTTTGAAAAACTATTTTAAGGATTATAAAGAACATCTGCAAAATCAACTCATTGCATCCAGACATATCTAAAGATATTTACATATCAAGTAAAAACATTGCAGTTTATTGTGTCTAGAAGCTCGTACATTTAGGTACAAATACATGTATAGTCAATGAAAGTTACTGTCGAGAAATAGGAGGCATTTGGAAATGGGTTTAACAAAAAAGAATATTTTGCAGCTACATCTTGAGTACATAATTCAAAGTTCAGTGTTACCATACAGAACATGGATATTTATTGATATCATAAAGCAGATCGAAGGAGGCCTGTTTTTCAAATCGTCGTTTAAATATTTTTCAGTTACATAGTAAATACAAACCATACTAGCATACGGTTTCTTGGAACATCACTTGACACGCAATTTATGGATATGGCATATACAATGGGGGTATTTTACAGCTTTGTTCAGGTTTGGTATCCATGTTGACTCATAATAGTCTTTGAGTAATAGATATTGCAATACAATTAATTTGATATCATATTCAAATCACTGAATATGTGAAATATTAACTGGTTTATAATATTCAAAATATTCCATTGAGACTTATTTGGAATAAATACTGAAAATTGTCACCCTCAACGGCAAAGGATTATAATATAACATTAGATAGATATCAAAGACAGTGCAAGCTTTAAACGTTGCAATAACAATAATTTCCAGAGTAATAAAAATTGCATTTAGTTTCTTCATTCCACAAGTTGCGACCTGTTGATGATTTGTTGCTGAACCTTACAAAAGTGTCAGTGTCTGTGTCAGTGTCCTATTCCACTCAGAATTTAATGATTTTATGAGCATACGTCCATAGGATTAGGATTCACATTTAAATTGGTCCCAACATATGTGTCTGTATCTCTCTGATAAAAGAGTAATACAATTGATAAAAACACACACACCTGGCAAGTCTAATACCAGAATCAGAATTTGCATCTCATATGATGTCCTTTCATTACGAAGCGTTCCTCTGAATATGTTCTGTTATAACTTAATAATTTTGCTGTTAAATCTTTATTTTTGACATTTATCACTTAAATTTTCACATATGGATCATCACACACAGGTACACAAAAAACTGTATACTGTATGTTTTTGGATGTATATCTGTATATTCCAGTATATCTAGAGGTCCATGTGTTTCATCCATACATTGAGCTGTGTAGTGTTTCTATATCTTGTTCTCTTTGTTTTGCTCTTGCCTGCAAAGAAAAGATAATAAGTTTAAGAAGACAAGTTTTTAATTTCATGAATAACTTTATCACAGGAGGAAGAAGGAATAAGCATAATGGCAATGTTTTACCATCCATGAAAATATTCATCTTTTCATACTAACATTAATATATGAATCAGTACCTGAGAGTTAGATGCAAATCAATATTTACACTCTGCCTCTACCAATATAAGAAATGCCCAGATTGTGCAAACTAATAAGAATTGCCCCTTTAAGCTCAGGGAATATATTCATTTTTTGCCATGGGCTAATCAACTAATGCACCATGGTTTTCTGAGAGTTTGTAGGACTGCCACTTGGGATAAATTACCTTTTGTTTTTTGAATTCTTCATATTGCTCATCATCAGTTGGCAGTTCATGTCTACATAAAGGACAGGAGTTAGTCTGCAAAGTAAAACATGGCATGTAATAATGTAAAGTATAAAGTAATGGGTAACAGGACAACTCATCCCTAAGACAACTCATCCCAAGACAACTCATCCCCAAGACATCTCATCCCAAGACAACTCATCCCAAGACATCTCATCCCAAGACATCTCATCCCAAGACAGCTCATCCCAAGACATCTCATCCCAAGACATCTCATCCCAAGACAACTCATCCCCAAGACAACTCTTCCCAACTTGAAATGTAACATAATTTTATACAATTAATTTCAACTTTTGAAAGAATTTGAAACATATTTAGAGATTTTAGCAGTTAGCACACTGTGTTTGGCCATATGATATATTTTGTATTTTGTAGTTAGTATAGCCTAGTTTTCGTTCATTTTTGTAGGTTGATTGGGATAAAGATCAACATGTTCTAATCAATATATACTTTGATAATTAAATCAAAGATCATCAAGGGTGTCAGATTAGGATTAATGCAATAAGATTGTATTATCTGGGGTATTATCAGAATAATTCTCCCAGATTAATTCAGTATTTGTTTTAAAATATTTTGTTTATTTATTCTTAAATAAGATTTCCAATTTTAAACTTTCAGAATCATGATGATTGAATTTGGAAATTATGTCTTTGACTTTTATCTTCAATTCTATATTCTCAAATATATTGAGAATTTGAGAATAGCCCAGAATTAATAAAAATACCGATACGTAAAAGTAGAACATAACTTTCTAGTGCCTTTTCAAAATGGTAAAAATTATCAATATTAAGATTGAGTACTCGTGTATAATCAAATATCACTTTGTAATCGTAAAAATGAAAAAGGGATATATATAATATAGAGGACAAATTAAATGATTTAACAATTATACTAGTGGGATGAGTTGTCTTGGGATGAGTTGTCTTGGGATGAGATGTCTTGGGATGAGTTGTCTTGGGATGAGATGTCTTGGGATGAGCTGTCTTGGGATGACTTGTCTTAGGGATGACTTGTCTTGGGATGAGTTGTCTTTGGGATGACTTGTCTTGGGATGACTTGTCTTGGGATGAGTTGTCTAGAAACCAAGTAATGAGATATTGGAAGTTGAACAGAGTCAAGATGTTTTACATAAGTTGTAATAAAACCTAGATTTGACATTGAAATGATCCTAAATTAGTCTTTGAGATTCATAAATGATATAACTTGACCTATTTAAGTGTATTACAACATATTTATTTGTAATGCAGAATTCAAAAAAATCTCATAGTGTTATGCAATGACTCTGAGGGTTTAGTTTGACAAGAACATAATTTTGGTTAAACGAACCATACTTTGTTTGTCAACTTACTTTTTTTAACCAGGGCAGGATACATTTAGGGTGAAAATTGTGTTTGCATGGCAGTTCCTTTGCTCTTTCCCCTTCTCTATACTCTCCAAGACATACAGGACACTTTACATTCCTTGCTAAAATAAAAGAGCAAATCTGTGAGCAGTTTTTAATCACTGAAAAAATAGTATAATTAATAACAATTTGTAAAAGAAGCCGTTAGCTTGCAAAATATTACCACCTGCCATTTGTTACAGACACAAACTGCCGAATATGGAATGCTAAGCCCCAACTGCCAAACACTGTCCACAAAAAAGGAGACCATAACAATATATCACCACTCGTGGTGGAGACATAATTACTAGAGCTTATGAGAGCATCAAACATAAATGATTATTTTATATAAAAATGAAATCCAGAACTACTTTACTAAACTCGTAAATGGGATATTTTGTCACTAGTTTTCTACAACTTCAACTTGAATATTGCTTACCTACTTGTCCTTCAGTTATTCTAATCACTGGGAGATTTTCTACAACGTTTTTTGATGCAGGAGGTGGCTTCCCATCAGCCCCAGGGAACAGACTGAAACAAATGACGTAAGTTTGATGACTTGTTCTGATTTCTTTAACTTACTCTGAAGACAACAAGTTTCCACAGTCATTTAGTCATCCTATCTTTAAAAAAGTATACTGTCAAATGTGCAGCCCCAAGTTTTGGGACTCCTGTTCAATTAGTGATGGCATGTTAATGGCGATAACTTTTATTTACTGTTGTACAAGAATTGTCATGTGTCTTTTGTCCATGTGCAATATTCTAGCAGGTAATGTACCTGTGAACACATTTTCTATTTCAAATGTATCAGCTTTAAGTTGCTAATAAATGCTTAATAATTTATTTTTGAGTGTGAAATGTACATTTGTACATGTACCTTTCAAAGTCCATTTCTGTATCCTGTGCAGCTACACCACTGTCAATAAGAAGCCTGAAAATAGATTTGAACAGTTTTCAAGTTTATTTAAGTAAATTTTCCCAACATTACCTGTACCGATGTTACATATGTGAAAGCAATATGAAATTAGACATTGTATGAGATTGTAACAAACGAAGTGAAGGATAATATGTAAAGTAATGTAGAATAAACAATAACAGCAACTAAATATATGATGTCAAGTTTCATACTATGAGGTTATATAATGATTCATTCTGTATATCGTGTTTATACTCGAGTGAGTATATAATATATTCACAAGTGAGCTTAGCGAACGAGTGAATATATCATATTCTCACGAGAGTATAAAATGCACGATATACAGAATGAACCATTATATAATCTTATTATGCCACTCTAAGTTCAATTACAGTTGATTCAAACACAATCATAACATTATAAAAACCATTGAAATATCCCATAGCCAACTCAGTAATGCCAATTTTGATCTCGATCCATTTATGACCTCACTTGATTCTAGCAAATCATGTGGGAACCATTTATGACGTCACTTGATTCTAGGAAATCATATGTAACAAAACATTCACCTCGTTCTTCGGTCAACATTCATTAGTTCCCAGAATGCACTTCTACAGTGGTATATGCTGGAGTGTATACGGAGGAGTTGTATACGATGACGATATACCACTCTCCACTGTATACTTGTTGTTATAGACACATGTTATACAACTGTAATCGGACTTAGAGTGGTATAAAGACAGTTATAGTATCACGCGGTAGGATCTCTTCTTCCCGAAAAACCGTTAATTTGAATTTAAAACCTACCCCAGTGTTTGAAAATCAAGGATTGTGAGTCTCACACTTCACCGTTTTTCTTCAAACTTGTTCCGTACAAAGCTTCACAGAAATACCTTTCAGTCGATACATTGTTTTCGTGTACAAAGTACCTCGTTTTAGCGGCGTTTTGGTCCCCAGCTGTGAGATAAAGCAAATTTTCATAACTTTCAACTGTAAGTCAAGTTATCTCGCCAGTCTTTTACCCATTCTCGCTCATAATTTCAGAATGGACTCCCATTACAACCTTCCATCGCTACGTTTTGATTTTTGGGCAACAAACGCAGCAGTTTCTAAATCATCCACACATCTCTTCAAATTTGACCAATACGTCCCGTCATCTTCCACTACGCCCCGCCGAGTCTATCACTATACACGTAGAGTTGCATTCTAATACAATTTGTCCATCGATGTGTCCGTTTGTAGGTTGAGATTGTCGATTCTAAATACCAATCGAATTGTGTTTTAAGATTTACCCATTCTTTTTTTTTCTTTTTTTTTATTCTGAATAAAAAGTTGTACAAATACAATATTGTAGAAAGAAAACATACAGTAGTTGCATATGCTATAATATCGTATTTATATATAATATTAGCCTTATTTAGCATAGTAGTTTTGATAAACAGAGGAAGGGAAGGGGGGGGGCAGGGGAAAAGGCAAGAGGGGGACTTTTTGTGATTTTCTGCTCGATGGTTTGAGCTTGGTGAGGGGGTTTTTATGTTCCCAGTGTGTATTTTACTACGTTATGAAATGTTTGAGTTTCAACCATTGCTGTTCCATAAGTTCAGTTTTTTTTGTTCTTTGGCTGATGCTTTCTTCTATGTTTTTATCTGTTTTTAGGAAGTTTTGCCAGCCTATCATATTAGGTCTCCTTATTTTCCTTTTACATGTGTTTAGGAATATCTTTTGTTTCAGGAATAGATGTTCGTTTTCTGTTTTTCCATCTCCGAAAAGGAATTTCACAATTGTGGGTACATCTTCGTCAAGTTGGTTGAAAGATGTTATTAGGAAGTCTTGTACGGCCTCACAATGGTATATTCCATGTTCTAAAGTATCTATGTCATTACGGCATAGACTGCATATATCAGTGTTATAGCCGTCTATGTTCATTTGTTTTAGTTGTTTGTTATAGTATAGTATCCGGAAGAATATTTTTATTTGGAAATATTTCTCTTTTGTCCTGAGAATATTTTTTCTATTTTTGTGGATTTTGGCCGACATCAATGGATTTTGTAGTTGCAGTTTGTTTTGCCACTTATCTTCCATCTTCTTTGGCAGTTTCACAGCATTGTTCTTTTTTAGTAAAATCTTGTAAACTTCTTTATTGTTTGTCTTTTTAACCATTCTGTGTTAATTGTGACATTCGGATTCTCGGTTTCTTCTTCATTTTCTCTTGGGTGTCTTAATTTTCTTTTCCAATTTTGGGGGATGGCTGTAATTATACTGTTATATTTCAAAGTATTCCTTTGGTTCATAACAATATCATATTTATGGCCTAATTCTGCTGCTGTGAGGAATCGATTTTCGTCCTGGATGTCTTTTATAAATTCAAAACCTTTTTGTATCCATACTTCGTTTTTCATGATTTCTCCATTGATTTTTATCTGTTCATTGTGCCATAATGATTGTTGCTCTGGGTTTCTCGTATCCGGAATTGTTTGATATTTTAGACTGCACCAATTTTTGTAGACTGTCTTCAGGTACCTTAAGTCTAAAACATTTATTTTGTCACTATTTTTTGAAAGGTTCAATGCCCATACTTCTCCCTGCGTCAGGTTCTTCAGGTAGTAGTTCCATATCTTCTTCCATTTGCCACTATATGTAGGGTCTATATATTTCTTTATCCATTTGGTTAGGTTTTTTACGTATGATTGTAAGTGGAGCATGTTTAGGCCACCTCTCTCTTGTTCGTTCATCATTATCTTTCTTCCAATTTTGTCTGGCTTCTCATCCCATATAAAGTTGAAAAACATGTTTTCTATTTCTTTGATAAAGTCATCTGTTGGTGTGAGTACTGTACATAGATATGTCAGCTGAGATACGAGGAGTGATTTTATCATTATTATTTTTCCTAGAGGTGTGATGTTTCTACTTTTCCATGCTCTAATAAGTCCTTGAATTTTGTTTCTTTTCTCTGGGAAATTTAAAATGTTTATGTCTCTTCCATCTAAAGAATTGGTTATACCAAGGACTTTTATATCTTTATCTTGGTATTTTAGCCCTGATGCCATGCTTTCATCTCTTACTTGTTGCTGTAATAGTGCATTTTCTCTGCCTATCACGGCTTCTTCTGTTTTGTGGAGATTGATGTTCAGTCCTGAGATTTCTCCAAAATTTCTGAACTTTTTCATTACTTTTTTCGCAGATGCAATATTTCTTATAAAGACTGATGTATCATCGGCGTATTGTGAAATCTTTACTTCTCCATCTGGTATTTGTTTGCCTTCAATTTCTTCATCTCTTCTGATTGATTCACTCAATATTTCGGCACATAGAATAAATAAATACGGACTTAGGGGGCATCCCTGTCGTACTCCTCTGTTCAGGTTAAAGTAGCGTGATGTATACCCGTTATTTATTACTGAGCTTTTTGCATCGTTGTATATGGTTTTGATCCATTTTCTAAAGTCTGGTCCAAAATTGAAGTAATCTAGCGTCCGATCAATAAATTTCCATTCCACTGTGTCAAAAGCTTTTTCAAAGTCGATGAAAAGCATTATGCCAGATTCATTGTTTGATTTAAGGTGTTCCATACAGTCTATTATGAGTCTAATATTCTCTGATATATTTCTCCCTTTAATAAAACCTGTTTGGTCTTCGTTAATTATTTTTGTTAAATGGGCTTTCATTCTTTACCCATTCTTGTCCATTTTCAATAAACCTATAACAGGGTGGTCCAAAATCTCCCTAAAATTTAGATTTCCCGATATTGCAATATAAAGATTTTAATTACTGAACAATTGAAAATATTTTTAAGAAACGTTTAAAGTGCCCTATCCTTGAAAAAATGTTAAAATGCGAAAGGATGGGTGATGTCAATTATATTATTTTCAGCATAACGTTAGAAACATGTATCATTTTATATGGTACACGTTTCATAATGTAATCCAATGGAATCATACAGAAGAAAGGTTGACACACAACAGTTAAAATCTTTATATTACATTATCAGACCAAGTCAGTAGATGTTGTTTATATACCAATTAGTGTTGTATGATGATGCATTCTTTATATGAATCTAGAAACGTTTTTGTGCCAATATTGCTAAATTTTGATAACATCTCCGTTATTTTGAAATTAAGCGTGGCAAAGTTTCCCGATGGATTTAGCTAAAAAAGTGGTGCCTGTAGGGTTATTGAAAATCATACATGATGAAGAAAAAATACATATTCCTGAAATACAACAGTTTAATTTTGAGTTATAAACCATTTATGAAAACGGCATATTTGTCAAAATTACCAAAACTTCAAGTGAGACGCGTGGCAAAATTTCCCAGGGGTCTAGAGTGGAAATATTTGTACCAAGAGTCAATTTGTAACTAGAATCTATCAGATGACAGATTTTTGGAAAATTTTGCAGATTTGGACAACCCTAACCTATAACTTTGTTGAACCTGAAGAAACGTATCAACTTTTTGTTAAATAAAGATAGCAAATTCAGCTGTCTACTGTACCTAACTTGTATTTTTTGCAAGTACTCAGATCGATGGATATTCTGTCGTATGACATGCGACAAACATATCAATTCTCATGGGTTTACATGGGAATGTCGATTTTCAAAAATTCATCAGATTTGTCATCCATTTCCGATCTATTGTAATTGAGGAAAAACATCAGGAAAATTTGGAGGTATTGGGAATAAAGTCAAGTTATATTTCCGTCAATTTTATAAGTATTTCCCCCGCAGGTTATGTAGATAAAAATTCAAACATAAATAGGCTTTAACACGTAGTCCAATGGGGAGCTAAGGTTGCCAAACTTATGGAGGGGACACTATCATGTAAAAGTATATTTTGTCACCAATTACACGAAACCTGCTACTGCATTATTGAAACTATTATCCCGGTAAAGGACCTGTTTCAGATTCTATTACCGCCTCCCCATGAAAAAATATAAATTCATCTGTTTATGTTTAGTGCATAAAATTCATAGCCAGATCAATAATTCGGAGAGAATACGCTGGACGATAGAATATTAAAA